CCCCCCCCCCAAATGAATACTCATGCATCTAAATTGCAATAAAATAATGAAATAAAGAAACAGTATGCATTCTAATCAATCACAGAAAACCAGCACAAACTTTGTCTGATTGTTTATATGATCAAAATAATTATTCTGAAAGTCTTGAAGTATCTAATTATATATTACAATATTTTATCTTACTAATATTTTTTATATAAACACCCATCTCAATAGTACCTTCGAAAGTTGTATCAATTAAGTTCAAGTCAATCTTAATATCATTTTTCAATTTACATCCACAAGTACTTTAGTTTCCTCAACTAATATTATAAAAAAGAAAATTTTCACCAGTCAAGCAGCATGCAAACAAACTATATAAATCGTTTTATTTTCATTCTATGTATCAGTCTAGACCTTTCTATAATTAAATTTATATACAATATATGATATGCAAGTAAATAATAACATGCAATTCATATCATTTGTTTCAATATAATTACTATATTTCATAACAAAGAAAAATAATAAGAAAACTTGCAATATTGTTAACTAGATAACAATCATTAATGTGTTAGAATTAGAAAAACAATAATATCACCATATTTAAAACATGAGTACTCATCTCAGTCCTTATTACGTAAACACTATGACTCGATCTTGTCCTTACTTTTCACCGTATAATTATAGATTTCTATAAGTTAATTAAATGTTAGAATGAAAGCATTTATAATTTATAACTATTTTAAATGTTCAGTTTTTTATTTATCTAACTCTACTTGCAAATGTTCTTTTAAACCTAAAAGTTGAATTTAAATTTTTATTTTATCTTGATAATTTTTACGCTTAACATTATAAATCATTTATTTTAATTTAGTTGATAGGAAATGATGTGTTTTATTTATAACAAAATATTTCAATTTACAATTATAAATTATTAACATGTTCCTAATTAAATATCCATTTTACTTGCTTTCTCCACTTATTATTATCTTTTATTTATTAAATAATATTCATTTAATAAAGTTCATAATTTTCAATTAAATTCCAACATAATAAAATGTCCCAATATCACTTTCATGATCTATCTTTCATTAAATCATAACATGGCATACAAAAATAAATCAAATCAAGTATAAATTTAGCTCGCAAGCCCCATCTTGGTCTCATGCTCAATCACCTGATTGTAAAACCTTGTCGTCCTCGCATGCAATCACGCTAGATCGTTCACAGTCTCCAACTCTCCTTCCCCTTATTGCTTCTCTCAATTTGTCCCCTTCTCCACACCAGCTCGCATGCTTAATCTTGCTCTCCTTCTCAAAATGCCCTAGATCACACTTGATTGTTATCTTTTCCAACCAAGGCTCGCACGACACTTCTCCTACTTGCTTGTGGTCACTCTTGTTCGCTAACTTCGCCTCCCTTCTCCACTTGCATGTTTCTTCACACTCGGTTTCCTCTTCATCTCCCTCACATGGCCTATCATTCACTCATCTCTACTTAATATCACATGTTCGGTCTTTGTTCCACTCTCTTCATCTTTCTCCTCTTGACTCGCTTAAAGACAGTGAACTGATTTCTCATCTTTGTCTTGATGCCACGAATTTGCTAGTGTCGGTACCACTTACTAGGCATTATAGATCAAGGATTGGAAAATTGATTACTCTAGTGTCATTGAATTTGCAATGATTTACCCTGAAATGTAGTCCATTAAAAATCTAATCCAACAATAAGGGAGAGATCGTTCTGAAAATCTTAGCTTGGCCATATGGCTTGTTGAGAATAGAGATTTGATTTCAATTGATTCTAGACTTAGCAAACAAATCAAGAAGGCGACCCAACTATGCAACTCATTACAATGTCTTTGAGATGCCCAAAAACCAAACAAAACATTTTGTTTTGTGCCTAAGCTAGGTCGTTTCAGCTAACTCCGCCCTTGGACCAAGTAAAATGGTAAAAAAAAAAAGATCTAATCCAGCCCTATCAAAATGTCTGCATGCAAGAACTTGTTGAAATGGACGTGTTTTCGAAAACTGAGCTTTAGAAAGTATGATCCCCAAATTTATGTTCTAATAATCTAGACTCGAAGTGTTTTTGCAAGACCGTGGAAAAGTGTCGGTATAATCAGCTAAGAATTAGGCCAATAAATAAGTGGAAGTCAAAGATAAAACCATTGCTTGAAGATCAAATCATTTTAAACCCTAATTTGGTTTAAAAATGTCTTCTTTCTTTGTTGAGCAATTTTTTTTTTCGTTGAAAATTGCCTATGTTTTAAATTCAACAATAGTTGTTTTGCTTGAGCGAGGAACTACCATGAACTTCATGAGAATTTGTATGAACTTAAGAGAATAAAAATGATTAAAATCACATCCATCTTCCATGATGAAATTAATTTCTCAAAGATATCATAAAAATTTTATAAAACTCTGTCATCCAAATAGATGGAATTAAATTCTTAACAATTCCTTCAAGAAGAAATCATTATCTAATCGGCATCTTTGAGGAGAGATAGCAAAACTTATCTGTCAGAAATTCAACATTATATTTTCATGGTTTTGAGTTTTGTTATTTTGGACCTAACTAAAAGATCTAACCAATATTACATGGGGAGAAAGTTGAATATTTTTAAAAAGATTGAACCTTATGGCAAATGAGACGCTCAACTTAACATGAAGTTATCTTTAGGGGTTGTCTGGCAAAGATAGTTATTAAGATTTAGTAAATTTCGTAAATCCGGATTTACTAAATTCTATAAATCCAACATAACAATTTGGCAAGTAGAACAAACCGAATGGCTCTTCCTCCAAATTCCGTAAATGACGTAAATCCACAGATTCGTGCGATTCAGTAAATCCGGGATTTACGGCCGAAATCCGTGAAATCTGGATTTATCAAATCCACGGCTTTATTTTGTCCAAAATGACCGTCTGGCAAGATTTAGCCTACATCCAGGTTAAATCCTAGTGTAAATCTGTTGCCAGACAACCCCTTAACGCTCTCTTTTTTTCCATCGATCGTCTTAATAACTAGGCGAGTTTTAAGACCCAACCAGATAAATTTTGAGAAAAAAACTCTATCTTTAGGGATCAATGCACAAGAGTGGGCAAACTGCCGTAGCAAGGGCTTACACCCTTAACAAAGATTCACATGAAGAAGTAATAAAGAGAGTTGAGTTTTAAGCCTGAAGAGAGACAATCAGGTGATAGCATTTGATTTGAAGTTTAAGTTTTGGTCACCCACACCCAATCAAAGACTAAACCGGAAAGATTCGAATAGATGTGAAACACGAAACAAGAAATGCTTCAAACATATTTTAAATGATGTAAAAAATATTATTCAATAAAGGAGGATTACAACAGATTCTGAGTAGTGTGCATTAACTGTTCACGTGTGGTACAAAAAAACACAATAGATAACTTCCAGCATAATTAAAAAAAAAAACTTACAGTGAGAAAAAGCTGCTGTTGCTGAGAGCAATGCAGCATCAAAAAGAGAGCCATCAGCATTAAGACAATAAATGTCCTGCAATTCACAGTAATCAGCGGGTTGATAGTTAAAAACAGATGTATAACTTTAGACTGCAAATCAATTAAAGAAACCATTAATAGGCAGGATGAAGTGTCATGAAGTCACTCTCAAAAGAAGGGGGCGTGAAAAGTACCAAGTAGGCCATCCAAGCCGCCTTTCCGCTTATTAAAGAGAGCTCTTTCAAGTTTAACATGCCAGAACTGTAGTAGAAATAAAAAATATATATACCATAAATTTTCATCATTGCACGGTCATCAGAACAGATAATACTTGCATATGTGATGAAAAAGATTGACTTAATGTTAAATTGGCACTAAAACCAATGTAAAATGTTCAAATCTTTCAAAAAAGTGTACTAGGAAACCTTGGATGAGGATCACATATTATCATGCTTCTAAACTAACAATGAAATATATGAATATTAGATATGTCAAAGATGTTAATCCTCGACAGAAACAAAATACAATTTTACGGTTTAGCAAGTTTTTTATGGATCTGCCCAAATAAATGTCTTTGAATATAGAAACCAAAATAGTATAAAGCATAAATGATGTCCCGTATTTCTTGAAAAAATAAGTCCATCCGTACCCAGGGATCTGGAAGCACCAATTGAGAAAAAAACCATTCTGCTTTCATCCAACAAAAAAGGGGACAATGTTTACAGTAGTCAGCCACAAACTTGGAAGATGGTCAATTATTACTAAAGAGCCTTTTGCGGTAAGAAAAGAAAACAATAACAATATTAGCTTGAATCAGAAATAACAAAAACAAATTGACTGTAGCTCCATCTCTAATATTTAGAGAAAGTGCTATAATCTTTTGACATTTCTACCCTTCTCAGACTTGCTTTTTTCTACTTGGAGACATCGAAAAATCAGCAAGGATTTCATAGAGCTTTGGGACATTATTCTTCGTAGCTTTCCATAATATCATCTGGAAATGAAGGAATGCTAGCTATTTTTCAAGCAGGAAAGTTCATTTAATTTGATATCATCAATCTTGTTCTTTAATCAATAAAGCAAAAGTCAAGTTCTATTTCTTCAACAAAATTATAGAGGAGAATCACTTTACTACTACTCATGCGTTTTATGCATGCTCTACTCTACCATTCTATTTATTTTGCTTATTTGAATGTTTCTCCTTTTCATCCTCTAGCTGTTTTGTAATACCCCCTAAATTTAATGAGAAAGGTTGAAGGTAGTTTTTAGAGATCGAACTATGAGTAAGGGTGAACAACCAATTGAGCAAGGTTTGGTTTAAAAGGAAAGGTGAATCAGCAAAAATATCATAATTGCCACTAATGCTAAATTTCATATGTATAGATAGAAACTTTTCTTATTCATTTTAGAAATAAACATTCAATCAAGTCAATTGCAAGGAATCAAGTGCATCAAAATGTTTGGAAAGTTTTCAAGAACGTCTATGATTTAGTTTGCTTATCATTTGCACATGATATGCACTCAATCTGCTTATTTGTACCGAATAGTTTCATAAAACCTTATTATATTGGTATTTAGCAAGGATCCAGTGTGTTTATACAAACTTTGCCTTTTAATACTAGTAAGGGACCACCGGTACCATTTTATTGATACAACTCTGGTACTAGACGAGGAGAACTTCAAGCCTCTAATCCTTGTTTCTGTGGGTGGAGTTTATATGGGTCGGAGTATCCGTTTGTTTATACCACAGAAGTTTCTAATGGTAGCCTCTCTCTCTCTCTCTCTCTCTCTCTCTCTCTCTCTCTCTATATATATATATATATATATATATAACCTTATGCATAGACTTTTATAATTTTTATAATGAATCATAATATTATAAGTAAATAATGAAATGAGAGCATATGAGATTTTTAAGGAATTACCAGATCAAAGTGTAAAAAATAAAAAAGAATTCAATAAAACTCCATAAGCAAGTATAATATCCATCTAATAGGTGAATATATCCATGGGAGCTCTCTACTGTGGTGCCTATCTTGTAGCTTTGTGAATATTTGAGAATAATGATAATTTTTTTCTCATTCTACCCTCCTATAAAATAAGATATCGAATATCCATCCACTTGAGCATCAATAGATGGCAAACTAGCAACTAACTCGAAGAGTAATCAAAATCTGCAACAACACTATCTCTTTCAATAGAAGTGGAAAGAGAAACTAACTCAGCTGGACAATTTTCATAATGCTCTTAGGATGAGGTTGCCATATCCTCTTGAGAGCTTGGTATAGCTAAGAGAGGTACTAAAGGCTCAGCTTGCATGATTCCATCATGTATATGTTCCAAATTTTATGTGCAAGTCTGAATTGAAAGGCATGGAATTGCATCCGTCATAAGTGATGATACATTTGGTTATCTGCACGCTTCCAATGAACATAAGTACCAGGGTTAATAATAGATGATTTCCTCAGCTATGGGTGAAATTTGAAGCAATTAGAATATATGTGCCCAAAATTTGGCAAGATTTGCAATATGACAATAAAAAAACATTCAAATACAACCTTCTGGCAATATCAACAAGATGGGACTCAAATCTAAATATCCCTATCAAATGGAATAATGACATTCATCTCAACTAGAACACTTGTCACAAAAAGCCAAGAAAAACGAGCAGTAACAGCATATACATATAAGGATTTACAAAAATAGATCCTAAAGAAAACAATACATATTAATAAAAGTAGTGTAACTGAAGCCCAAAAAAATTCAAACCGAAGTGATAGGAAATTCCATGGATAAGCTAAAATGAGAAGACTAATTTAACCATTGGTTCTTGTAAAAATAGTTTAAAACAATATGCTCTAAGACTTTGACCGATAGTCTGATAATAATATGGCGAGGATTAAGAAGTACAATAGAATATTCACCAACAAACTACAAGTCAGATAAAAATAAGCACCTAGCCTCAAGGCTAGAGCACTCTATCGAGAACTTGCCCTGAATAAAAAAGAGTAGCTAGCTCAAAAACCTCAAGATCAGAAAAAATAAGAGTTGTTTTACCTTGAAATAAGGAGGAATGTTTGTGACAAGAAAAGTATGTCACTTAACAAAAACACAATGGGAATCGAGTAGGTGAAGCCCAATAAGAATCAAAAGCCTTCGGTCCCCCAACAATATTGGTGAAGGATTGAGAAGCACCATAAGAAAAATAAACAGTATGCATAGGTGCCCAAAGAGTAGGGAAAAAAACCCAGGAGAAACTTCTGGCACAATAATCAATGGAGGAGACTTTAAAAACAAAAGAGCCACTAAGGCAGGAGATGGCCAACAAAATGATGGATCAGTCAAAACCCTAAAAGCAACCAATGTGAGAAAGATAAGATCCATTGAAAAGCCAGACACAACAGAGGAGAAGGATTGAAACTGGAGTTTGAAATAGTAATCTTAGCACCATCATGAGTCAAAAGAAGAGAACCAAAAGAACACTGAAGAAAAAATGAATAGAAAAATCCTTAAAGGCCAGGAGCATTTGGAGAAGGCAACAGTACTGTTCAAGCTATAGAAGTGACCGAGAATGACATCCCTGCCCAAGCACTAGTGAGATAAAAGCCGAATGTCGATGCAAGTTAAGCACTAGCAAAAGAGAATGGATGGACTAAATGAAATTAGTGCCAGAAACAACGCGGGTGCTTGCCCAATTACAGTTAAACACAACCAGTGAGCTTGAGACATGGGTACCAACACAAACAGGGGACAAAGGCAAACAGCATAGATGATTGTTAAAGCAAAGTGTTAGGCAAAAAAAAGGTGCTGAGGGGACTTATAAATGGAAAGAGACCTAAGCATTCCGTTTATTGAATTATTATTGATGTTGTGATGAGTTCAAAGATTTAGTTTTAATATTTTTCAATGCATTTATTTTGAAAATATAAAGTAAAATAACTACTATGTATTGAATTTACTTTAAGTTGTTTGGTTGGATGAAAAGTCCATATGAAACAACTATTTTGTTTATTTAATTGGATGTCAATTTTTTATTTTGATGACAACATTGGGTTGTCTATTTATTCGGTTTGGTGAGCTCACACAATATCAATTTATTTCACATAGGTTAAAAAAATTGTGTTGCTTACCAAAAGATAAATTAAAAACAAGTATCTTAATTATCTCAAATATGACATCTTCAAGGATTTCTAACCGAAAAATATAATTTTGCTCCTACATAAAATAATAAATTAAGGAATATTTTAAAAACGAAATATATTATCAAGAAATTACTTGATTATGTAGCGACACACTTCTTTCACAAATATGAAAGCAGAGCAAAGAATCTTTTCCAACATCCTTCTTCTATGGCAATCAAACATATTTCACCATAATCAACAATGTTAAGCCCTTTCGAACCACCCTTATCACCATCAAAATGTTGAACAGCCATTTAACATATTCCAAGAATGTCGAACAGCATTCCTTCTAAAGCCTTTTAGATTGTTTTGCGGTCATATGCATGGGTGCAAGTAGAAAGGATAGGAAAATTTTAGATATCCGATTGATTGGGTCAAATTTAGCTTGTAGATAATAAAAATGTTTTGGGGTATTTATACATTAAAAATTCTTTATATTCATTCTACTTTGCTCCGATAATTCAAGAACTAAAATACATCTAATTTTGTTCATTTTATTCTTATTTTCTTGAAAACAAACAGCCCCTCAATGAAAAAGTTGTGTAACTATTATTTTGGCTTCATAGTTTTCTTATCATAAGAATTTCATAGTTCAATGTCATGAAGATATCAATGTATAAAAGTTAAGGATTCAATATTTTTGTAAATTGAGAGTTATGTCTGTCAATTTACTATTATTTTTTATTACTTCATTATATACCCGGCCTCATTGATCCTTATTGTTTAATTGATGAACCAAATAAAGTCATATAAGGGCACCAAGGATCAGGCAACTTGACACTAAGGGTTCGTTTGGGGCCGCGTTTTTCTTGCGGTGCGGCCCCAAACCGCGAAGCTGAGCTCCTCTTTGCCATTTGGATATCGTGTTCGCGGCCACTCACCGTTGAAATAGGCGGAACGCGGGCCGTGGGATCAACCCTGTGGCCTCGCGTTATCTAGCGACTTTTACCTCCTTTGCCCGCCAAGGACCTCACTGGCGGTGTGTCCTCCACCACCGATCGATCATCGGAGAAGCTCCACTTCGCCGACGGCGGGAGCTGCCAGCTGAAGGTACTTGGAAAGACAAGACAACTGGTTCGC